TACATACAGGGATAATTATGCACACAGTTGTTCACTAAGATAGAACATGTGCCTATCTCGGCACAGAAACCTACGACTAAGTTACGACCATATACGGTCGTATACTACAATCGTGCACGACAGTAGTTTATTTGCAACGTATACGTTGATCGTACTTGAACGTATGGCATCGTGTACGTCCATCGTATACGATCGTCGTATACGATGACCGTTTCTAGACGTATTTCGTCGTATACGATCGTTTACGATCGTGCTTTTTTGACCTGGGACCTGTATTGATTTTATATAGAATTAGAATTAATGTTCAAGCATCTTTAAACTTTGTTACTGATTTTTCAATTGGTTCAAAAATAATCGTTTGTCCAAAAATCGAATTGAAATTCTTCTTTCGTAAAATCAAGTATCTTCTGAACATCATAAAACCGTTTAACGATTCGTAATAATTTTACGATACTTTTAGCTTTTGGTAACTCGATTTTGTATAAAACAGAATTTATTTAAAATTTATAGCGCATCAATATAAAAAGAAGGGGAATTCATTTTCTAGAGCTTATGACGCTCTTAAAAATCGCTTGACTACACCATGCAATGCTTCTTAAATACAGGTGAGAAAGATATTGTTATTTTTTTGTTATTAATAACAATAACATTAACTTTTTTACTTAGAAAAATCAATGAAACAAGTCTAAGAATAGTTTGCACCAACATCAATGGATGAGATATACCTAGGATCGAGAAATTTGCAATTCAAGGAAAATTAAGAAATTAAAGCTGGTATCGTAATTGCATCATTTAGAGTTAAACAGTACCGCGGATCCAAAAAAAATGAAGGAATTCCAGAAATTCTATTGAATTTCTTGAATTGCTTGAATTCCACTGCACTGCTTTAGAGAAAGTCATCCTCACCCTCACGATCAAGATTGTCTTGAAATGAAGGAACTGAAGGAATTCAAGAAATTTTATTGAATGGTCTGAATTGCTTGATTGTCGTGAATGCCGAATTACGGCTTAACTCTAAGTGATGGAATTGTTATAGCGATTACATGTTTTCGGAGAATATTCCCGGAAACTCAATTATGTCCTGGGTAAGAGCTATAGAGATAGATAGGTATAGAAGATATAGGATGTATAGGAGATATAGGAGGTACAGTACACAGTTATTTATTTTTTATGATTGATTTTTTCGAGCAAAGGTCGGCAAGTGGCACCAATATATTTTATGAATAGATGTTTAAATTCAAACACTATTGAATGATTAGCTGTATCAGTTAATCAATATCTCCTATACCTCCTATATCTTCTATACTTCCTATATCTCCTGTATCTTCTATACCTATCTATCTCTATACCTCTTACCCTAGGACATAATTGAGTTTCCGGGAATATTCTCCGAAGACATCATATGGTTATAGCAGCTTGAATTCCTTGAATTTCTTATTTTTCCGTGAATTGCCAATTTCTGAATCGTAGGTACTGCTGCGAACAGTCTATTTATTAATTGAATCGAATTTATAGGTCTAAAGAAAAGGTTCTGTCTGTCGAATTCAAATCAATAAGAACCATGAGTTGAATTAATCCTTTTGTTTTTGGACTGATTTAGTCAGCTGTAATACCAAAGTGTAACGATAAGATGATTATATCGTGATATCAAACTGTTTTATTTCAATCATCCTTCTCCTTTTATAGTTACCTTCCCCTCCTCCGGGGAGCGTTAATCAACCGGAGAGAGAACACGACAAAGAGGAAGAGACACACGTCGAACGGGATAGGTGAATTTGAACACATAATAGATAGTATCAGTGTGTATAGAGGAGAAAGTCGTTATGTGCATTAATTAAGATAGAGCGAGTGCTTATATCGGCACACAGAGATACTACCTATGGCGGAAAAAGCATCAAGAAATTGGTCTACTGTACGAACATAATTATGCGTGATTTATTTCGACAAATGACTTGGACTACACCACCCGTAAAAAGAAATCGATTTCATAGAAGTGCATGCCTACTTATTGAAATAATGAAATCCATTCTTGTTGAAAATAACTACACAATTTATGTATATCAAGGTGAAATAATATGAATGCAATTAAATAATGAATTCAAAGTATTTCGCAATCGATTTTAGCGCTAAGTAGTATGTTCTATTCACAGGCAGCTAACTTTAAAAGGATATCTTCTCACCGCGATGCTATTTATTTTCATAGATCATTCCAACACTAATCATGTTGATCAAGACAACAGAATGCCATGCCTTGAAAGTGCGTGGAGATGGGTATGGATGTGGGTTTAGGTCTTCACTTGAACCCACACACATCAAAATATAAAAGATTTTGTGAAATACGATCTAAAAGGAGTGTTGAAGTGTATAGGGGTAGAAATTTGCATCCACTACCCCCTCCCCCCTCCCGTCACAGACGTGACAGACAGTCTTGGCAACGAGACATCACAGACGTGACAGACACGTTAAAAACGGCTTGTCACAGACGTGACAGACATCCTTAGCAACGGTCTATCACAGACGTGACAGACAGCCTTATACAAGCCACAGACTGTGATAGAAGACTTTAAGCAACTATCAGATAATGTATAACTAACATATGATTAGAGCATATATGGAATATTATCCTGTTTGAACTATATAATGTAAAGTAATCCATGGTGAAGAAATATACCCCAACATATATTGAAGAGAACAGTTTTTAAAAGATTTGAAACAGCAGTTACATCGTGTTTCACATTTTTAATCCCGCAAGGAATTGCACTAACAGCTTTTTTAAGAAGAATTAATACATGACACCCTAATATTACATTTACGATAGAACATGAAACTAACGATTGATTAGCATTCTTAGACGTACTAGTAATTCCATATAATAATATTAAAAAAAATACTCTACCACTTTATATAGAAAACCAGCTAATACAAACTTGTATCTATTATATGAGAGTAATCAATGTCGTAAATATAAACTAAGATTAATTCGAACATTAGTAATTCGTATTTTACTTATCTGCTCAATAAAATACTAATAAAGATAATGAATTAACATTAATGAAGGATACATTGAAAACGAACGAATATCCACAACACTTAATAAGAAGAGGAATACGGGAAGGAGAAGTAATTGTTAAAAAGATGCTAGTTAAGACTCATGATAAACAATAAAACTCTCTTATAAAAAAGAACATATTTTTTACACTCACATATTATGGATTAGAATCAGTCATTTTAGCATAAAGAATCAAACACGTATGTCATAAGTATTTACCATTAATTAACGTCAACATAGCTTTTAAAAAGCCTTCACACTAAAGAATATATTCTTATCACTTCAAAAAGGTGACGATAAAATGAAAAAAAGATAAAAAATAAGTCTATAAAGTTACATATATGAACTTTACTAAATACTATATTGGAGAAACTGGTCGTGAAAAATCCCCGAGAATGAAAGAACATCAGAAAGACATTATGCAACTATCAGATTCCTCGAACATAGTTAAACATGTTACTCAACAGAGTCATTCTTTTAATTTTAATCAAGTCGAAACATTAAGCCTGGAAAATAATTGAACTCGTAGAATAATCGAAGAAAGCCTATACACTTATCAGTCAACAGGTCGAGCATTAAATGATGTTAAATTTAAGTTCAGTGTTTTCGGATAACGCTTTAATGCCTAAGGGCAATTTTTGTGGGCAACATATAAGTTCTACAAACATTACAATTCGCAAATTATAATTATCTATCAATTACTTTGTTTGTTCTCCTATCATAAACTATAGATATATGTCACCTGTATGTGATCACTAGATTATTTGATTTAATGTCAAAATCAACTTGTAATTCGCCAATAGCAACTAATTTAACGTGTTTATTGATTTAAAATTTAAACTGAGCTTCACTCTAGCCATCTTCTATTACCAATATGATGCCATTGTAACCAACTTGTGTGATAAACACTTTGAAAGAAATCTTTCCCTAAAGATTCTAAATGTTTATCAAATTTCGAATAAAATAGTTCTATTTTGTATCATATTGAAGTGTTTTTTCTTTTGATACTGACGCAAGGAGTTCAAATTAAATATCCAAAATCTTTTTTTTCTTTTCGTTTGACATATCGCATACTTAGAATAAGTGTTAATTTTATTTTCTATTCTAGGAGAAATTCGCATACTTCTACGGTATAAGTTTAGTAAAATTTAAAATTCTCCTATAGTAGAAATTAAAATTTTAACTTCTACTAGTGCAACTTAAAATCGCCTGTTATTCCGATTTCTTCTAGTAGAAATCAAAATTTTAATCTCTACTAGTAGAAATTTAAATTCCACTGAATTTTAATTTCTACTCCGACATATATATAGAGTTTTTCTTGTTTTTTTTTTTGTTTTGTTATTCCTGATGATGACAGATATATTCTGTCGACAGATTGAATAAATAAATGTGATTTTTGTTAAAAATCCAATAATAGTCTTCGTAGTAGTCTTATACTCATTAATTTTCAGCTTGCATAACTTCAAGTACTGTACAGAATTGTGACACCGATTCATGTCATAAGAAGACATGGTAATTCTCACAATATGGAATTGGTTTTGGGGGATAAACTTTCATATTTGTCTAAATTATCGAACAGTAAAATCGAATCATTTTATAAATGTTACTGAATTTCATCAATAAATTAAGTTCGATGTTTTTTGCTTGTTTGATTTCGTCGAGCTATGAAATAAATATTTGATTTTCTAATAATTTTCAGTTAATAAGATCACTGGAATGGTTTATCTTACACAATGACTGTGAGATAGATACTAATATTTAATGCTCTGTCTACATGCACAATTCAAACATTACATTCTATATATTCACTTACACTCGATTGTAGTAGCAAGTTTATATGAACAGAAAAGTGTGAAAAGCAATAAATTGAGCGACGTCCTCTTATAGCATTTATGTGACTTTGAAATGATCGAGCTTCATACTATCACTGTACATGAGTCAAATATTATCAGTAGCAATATTTGATACCAGCGCTATTCGCATTTTAATACCGTTTTCATTTCGAAGATTGTCTCATTCCAACACATTTTTATCCGATAAAATTGATTGTCTATTGTAAAAATTTCCATTTCAGCATGACGATAACAATCCGAAATCCGATCGCGTAGACTGCTGTTGATTGGAGGATCTGTACCAGAAACATGAATAATTCCAATTAAATTTTTTTTCATCAAATAATATATTTTTCTTTTAATTTCAGTTACTGTATCCAATCGAATTGTGTTAGATTTTTAACATACTCATCCAATTGAAATTGACTTTTGTTAAAAGATTATAATACAAATCCGATATGGGCAACGGGATAATTTTCTCTTATAGTAAATTAGCAGCCATAGATTAAGGTTTTATAATGAAGAATGCATTAGTTTCACTTAATCACGTTTCATTCAATTGTCCTTCTGATGACCCTATGAATCAAAATAATGAAAAAAAAACTATATCTATCTATCCAAGTCAAGAAAACAATCATCATCTAGTGTAAAGATATTGTAATAAAATTGCTATTGATTTTTCCACTAAAAATTAATGATATTTTCAAAACAAATAACACTGTTGCAGTGAAACGAACACCTTGCATATTTTTCAAAGTTACAGTTGATCACCTGAACCTTTTGCAGAGCTATCGCCAAACATTTTGAAAACTCATCGTTTAAATAAGCAGTGAATAATCTCTTCTCGTTCCTTACAAATCGGTAAATGCACTATTCTTGTAATGATCATGTAATCAATAACACGGCTAGCTATGTGAGAGTAATGAAAGATTAATAAATTAAGAGAGGGAAGAAAGGCAACAAAACGCTTAGAAAATTTCCTTTGAGTCATGTTCTCTAAAATATTTTATGCTCCGAAGTAGCTCATTATATATTATCGTCAAATAAAAGCAAATGATAAATAAAATGAATTGTTTAAAAAGATGAATGTGTAATATTAAAATGAAACATAGAAACTAAAACAATGTTTGAAAACTATATCATATGATAATGAAAAAATTCTTTAATACATGATTACTCTTCTGAAGAGTTTTACGTTAAATAATTATCAATTTATGTAACTTTGTTCTTTAAGAAGATTTTAATTATTATGTGTAAGCTTTACTTCAATCGTCACTGAATATCTAGAAAATTTTCAACTAGTAAAGTTATTTTACTTGAGTTTTCTATGAATATCAATTGAACAAAAAAATATTCTCATGATTGATAAAACTATGCTACTGTAAATTTATAAAAAATGTATCGATATAAATATTAAGTAAAATATTCTTCTTGTTGATCATGTTTTTGGTGGTTTCTGTGATGTTAATATTGTTCTTGGAGGATGAGAAGGTACTGGTGGTGGCGATGCTAATGTTTGTATAGTTATTGGTGATGTTGATGTTGTTTGAGTTGAAAGAGGAGATGCAACAACAGATGTTGGAGTCATTGACGTCCAAATAGTTGGATGAAGAAGTGTAGCTGCTGTAGCATGTGGATGAAATAATGTACCAAATTGAGTCATTGACGTTGTTGTTGTACCTGGTGCTGGTTCAAATACTGGATTAAAACGAGATGTACCAAAAGTAAATTGATGAAATGATGGTTGACGACTTAGTGATGATATATCAACAATTTTACTTTCATATTTTTCTTTATGTTCAAACCATCGACGTCGAATTAATGGAATAAGAAATATAAACATAAACACGGTAAATGTTACCAGAAGAACAATACAAAATGCAGCTACAATTGTATTTGTTACAATAAGACTTTCAAATGTATGTTGATTAATCATATTTGAATTGTTAAGAAAACGTTTTAGTAGTATCAAATGTTTTTAAGGTGGAAATGACAAATGTCGATTACGAAATACAACTAAATGAACTTGATGTTAATCGTTGAAATGTTAATCGTCACATTGTATGTCTATCTATGTAGTATCTTTGTTTTCTTTTGAAAGTTTATCAACATTATTACGCAATAGATAGGACAAAGCCAAGGATAGAATGTCAAATAAAAGAATGTATAAGATCACAAGTTACTTAAATATTATTGAAAGTGTACACGACAATAAAAACATGTGATCTGAACTATGCTTACAAGGTATAGTCAATGGTAAATGTTTCAAAACGAAAATTATCTTATAAAATATATATAATTAAAATGCATAATCGAATTCTCATTTTTTAATAAATAAACGCTAAAACAAAAAAAAAGGTTTCGCCTGACAGAAGATATATCTTATTTACTTAGAAGTGAAGCCATTATTAATTATTAGTAATTGTTGACATCAACAACTGTTATGATTAATCCTTTAAAACTGCTATCATTATTAACATCAAACATAAATATTCTGTCCTATTTCGATGTACAAATGTTCATAATATTTTCAAAAATTGTTCAAATAAATAACTGAACGTGCTAATCAAATAAACAAAAGAGAAAATAACGTAAATATCTATTTTTTTATAAATTCAAAAATTACCAATGTGTTCATCAATAAGTAACAATAAAGGATTATTTGAGTCGAACTAAAGCAATTTTTGAACTATAGTACGATTCTGACAGAATTTTCTGCTAGTTTCTATACTTTTTTCTTTCAAAGCAATGTAAATAAAAGTTTAGAAGTCAATAAGACTGACTTATATATATTGATCATTAGAATATGTCTTAAATTCGTTTTCGCAAGACGAGTCGAAGCTTTTGTAAAAATTATATAAGATATGGAAAATAATTTTCAGTTGGCAAAAATCAAAAACTATCTCGCAAAGTGATATTCAATAAGTTTTGTAATTGAGAAATTAATAATATTTTACGAAATTCAAAAATTTCACCAAGCATCTGCTAGAATAAAACGAGTAGGAAATCGAACGGTTCGAAAAAATTTTAGCTATTTAAAAAAACACTGACATTGAGTCATTTTTGAATTGTAGATTTATCTTAAATTCGAAGTTCTGTGTGATATTACATTCTCTTTCAATATCCGAACTTAGCTCAGCTGGCAGAGCGGTAGGCTGTAATGGTGTATGAATCGTAGTAACCTATAGGTCCCCAGTTCAAATCTGGGAGTTCGGATTTATAATTTTTTTTTCGTTCTTTTTGCATGATTGTTTCGTGTTGAAGCACAAGGTGAAAGGTAGATTACAAAATATTCTCGTATTGTGATTGGTTTCTTAATAGATTTTATTTAAGTTATCTTGTTGATGTCGCTAGTATGAGCCCTCCCTATAGATCTCTTCTTGATACTATGTTGCTACTTATCAGTTTTCGAATATTCAAGCTAATGTGATATAAGAAAGAGTCAGACAAAAACTTCGTTGGGAAAAATGAGGAAAAAGGTTTCACTGAGTGAGATAGAGTAAAAGTAGAGGTTTTATTCGATACAATATCATAAGATAAGGTGATAACTATTTTTTTTTTGATTCAGAATAGAATATGATAAAAGATTATCTGATACATTCATGCATCGATTATCAACAGATGATCAATCTTTTATTATAGGAAATCGATCAAAATATTTTTCTACATTTTTTTACTTCACCACCTGATTCAATTATTTTTGATGATGATAATATAAATGAAACAAAATTTGAACAAATTGAACCTGATGCTATATTACCTTCTCTCTCATCGTATTGGTATACTTATATAACAAAACATACACATTTAAATTTAAGTTGTTTAAGTGAATTAGCAAATTATTTCATTTTATTATATTAAAAATGAATCATTACGAAGCAGAGATGGGAACAGGACAGGACGATGCGGCCGTCCTGGTGTCCTGTCCTGTCCTGTCCTGCAGGGCAGGAGAAATCTAAAATTTTTGTCCTGTCCTGCCGCACGGTAGGACAAAAATGTCGGAGCGGCAGGACAGGACAGGTTGTATCAGCTTGTCCTGTATTTTCAGATGTGATTTTCTTATGAATTTTTATATAAAGTTTTTCTTAGATTATTTGTATAATACTTATCATAATCGGTTACATTTGACATATTTACTATCAGTTCTAGGTGTCAATATCAAAGTGACAAGCAATGCTCGTATTACATTAATCGACAAAAATTTTAAACTGCGAGGGAGCATACAATACAGCGATAGAAAAATAAATAAAGGCAGATAATCACTAGTTATCGATGGTTATTCGTTCATCCGTGCTTATATTGCTTTCTTGTTCAATCATACGTTGTTTTAATGACTTTTAGATTTCTAACGTTTTCAAAACAAGGTGATTTATAAATGTAGTTGAAATATCTGCATTACTTGAAGCTCCTCTCAATTCAGAAGAAAGAAAACTTTAACTCGATTCAGAAAAAAATATAGTTGTCAAAAACGAATCATCAACAGTATTCTCATCTGGATGGAACGCATTTGGATTTTCAGCTAAATTAGATAAAAATATCAGTATCAATGTATTTTCTGGTACGTTAGCTGCTTCAAGTACTTTCAACATTTATTAAGTTATTGAAAAACACTCATTGATTAGTTACCTTTTTCTGTTGCTCTTGATATGATTACTATATGATACTATGATGACTATTATGAAACGTTCACGCTTCTTGTTTTGCAATGTAATTTTGCGTAATGAGCATGTTATTAAAGCTAATTCACTTGTCGTGTTTATTTCGTATTATTCAGTTAAACATCGCTTAAGAATAGAATTGTGATGTTTACAACTGTATGGAATAAATTGATTACAAGATGATCGAGATGTTTAATATATGCTTCACTTGATAGAAGATAAAAGATGTCATGTTCATCCTGCTTAATGCCCTGTCCTGCCGCGCAGGACAAAATGGTAAGTCATTTTTCGTCCTGTCCTGCCGCTCGACAGGACGGAGGTCGATTGCAGGACAGGAGGGGAAAAGCTGTCCTGTTCCCATCTCTGTTATGAAGTTCTTCTATAATAATTATTTAATGTATCAGGAATAGTTAGTAAAGTAAATAAAAGTATATACTTTGTAATTTTTTTAAAAATAATTACAAATTTTCTACATGAGGAAAATATACATGAAATTGTTCGGGAACGTTCGATCTATTAAAAACATAAATATTTGACTTTGGCACAATTCACTCGCATTGTATCTCTTGTGAAGTTGTGTGTTACTCTTTGTAGAGAACGATAAGAGATAACAAGATGAATATAATTTGATAGACAAGTTTTCTTATTAACAAGCAATATTCAATATAATCATCATGAGCACTTGAAAGATCTAGATGAATAACATGACGATATTCAATTATTGGTAAATTTTGATTATCTTCATTTAATATTTACGGTGATCGATTTTCTATAATCAACATTTTAAGAAAGGGAAATGCTTTAGCAATTCGGATAAAAAATTCATATTCAAAAGGACATTCATCATACAGTAAAACTCTGTGAACAAACTTTAATAATCCACCTGGAAAACTATTTGTAAGATTATGATAATATATCATTCTAGATGGATACGAATGTATATGATATTGAGCAATCTTTTCCTTTTGAAAATAATCGATATAAGAAATAATTTGATAATCTTTAAGATCTTCAAATGTACGTTGAATGTCTTCATTTGATGGTAAAGAAATCGAATAATCAATCAATATATTTGAATGGATACTAAACATGAACGTCTTTAACTTTGACATATGACAAATAATGTCATTCTTCAAATTATTTCAATCAATAAATGTTTTATCATGGCTACAACGACAGATCGAGGTATACAAGGAAAGTTTTTCTAGATTCGACATACGATGTAAGAGAGATACAAGTGATTCTTCGTAAAAGCCTATGCCTATATCACAAGTTAATGAAAAACATTTTAAATTTATTAATTCTGTCTAGAAAAATAGAAGAATTTTAGTGATTCTTTCAAATAAAATAACCCACGTTGTTAGGAATGATAGGCAATGGAGGAGTAGAGATAAAAACATTATCATAGAATGTGTGAAGTTGTTTGAAACGACCATCGAGAAGATAAAGACAATCATTGAACGTTTCAACATTGATATATAACTTCATCAAAGTTGAAGAAGAAAGTGTTACATATTCACTTGGATGATTAAATGACAATCTTTCGACGAAGTTAATGTAAATATCAGAATATAGGTAAAACTTTAAACAGATTAAATTACTGAATATAGTAAAGACACGAGTACAGATTGTCTTCATTCTATCGGTTCTTAATAATTCTTTTTCATTGTCGAGCAACGCGAGGATCAGTGTTGAAATACGATATTTTACGATGTACCCGAAATGATCTTTCTCTAAACAGATAAAAGCAATAAGAGAGACAAAATTGCAGTTGTCTTTCCAAATCGAAGTTTGAGAAGAAGTTACATTCAGCATAGAACTTAATGCTACCATTATATTAATAGATTTTTTCGTTTCGTTTCTATATAAACTTGAAATTGTTTTCGATAAATATTGTACAATAAACGACTCAGTTGTAGTAAGAATGTGAGATGTTCATTTTCGTGTGCTTTATATATTTTAATGATTAAGTCAATCAAAGTGAAAGTTCTTATCAACAAACAGATGTGCAACTATTTCAGGTTCACCAATAAAAAGACCAAATCCACATAAGTTAGGATAGTAGCCGGCTAGCAGAATACGTTTGATAGATAATGATTCAAGGTTGAGACACTTGATTTTATGTTGAATTTTTGGCAATATTTGTAAACAGAAGCGATCAAGGATTGATTTAACCGATGGATAGATATCACCATTACACGAACGTTTCATTAATTTTAAATGATTCATAAAGACAGGATCACTTACGATTTCTTCAAGTTGTATATTAACACCTATTAGGGCATAGAGGACCTCAATATTGGTTAATTTGTTTAAAATGAAGAGAAGTATCTCATCGGACATATCCATTAGTTGAACACATGAATATTCCATGTTCATTTGTGTTGCATCGGTCAATCTTTATCAACTATTTATATATCCTTTATTCTATCACCCAACGGCGACAGCGAGAAGAAGCGTTTGTTGGTTTCTATATAATCTAAATCGGTCATGAATGAGTGAACCAATGACTAACGCTGTTTCTCGCCCATTCATTTATGTGGTAACCAGAGCTCCGCGAGACACGATAGTTCTGTTCCGTCCGATCTCAATCCTGGTCGGGATGGGACCGAACCAAATCAATGCACGTGTGCGGCCCGTCAAGTGTATATGAGGCAGGGTTGTGGGTGTTCTGGACAAAAATGAAGGAGGTTTACAGAATCTTTTAGGCTCCTAAAAGGTTCTGTGTTTTATTTGGGAGTCAAAACTCTGAAAAAAGACTGTGGTCAGGAAAAAAGTTTCGACGACGATGTCAGAAGCATTTTTTATGTCCAGAACCTTTTTTAGGACTTCTGCGCCTTAGGATAAAAAAACAGAACTTTTCAGAGACCCCAAACGTTCTGCAAACCTTCTTTATTTTTTTCAGAACACGCACCCCCACATCTCCAAAAATATTGACTATATACTTTTTTCAGATAATTTTCTCAGATCAGTTATGCGATGAGCAATATTTAAAGTTGTGCTTCTTATTGAGCTTTTCATTGTTTATTATTACGATAAAACTATTGCCATTCTAATATTATTTTGAAATAGATGTTTGGTAAAATAAATTATGTAAATTGAAAATGAAGGTATGAATTCCTCAGACTTTTTTCAATTCTAGTTCGAGAAAGAGAAGTTATGTTCACATGACAGAATGACGCGGGACGGGATAAGAAAGCGCGGAACACATGACGGGATGGGACGATTTTTTTGTCGTCTCGCGGAGCTTCGGTAAGACTGATCGTTGAGTCTTATCAAGTCGAATGTGTTAAAGTTAGTAAATAGATTACTAAGGATAAAATGTTTAGCAAACGTATTTTTGATATATAGTTTCGTTGGTGCCCGACCACAAAAAAAATAAGCCTCTCAGAAGATTTTATCGTCTGTAGAACTCATTGTGTTGATCATTTCGACAAAATAATATTCAAATCTAATCAATTAACCATGATGCAAGGAGCAAAATACTCAAAAACTTCAGCTACTTCTGCCTGCTACTGGGCAGTATTTCAGTACAACAAGCTCTGTAAAATTCTACAGACAAAAAAGTCTTTTAAAAACCTTGCGTTTTTGTTGTTGGTTACCCATGAAAGTATCCATCAAAAAATACGGTATGCAAGCATTTTGTCGTTAGTAGACCCGTTCATCAAAATCGTTATCATTACAACATAATATTAGTAGCGATGACTAAGATGAAGATAAAGAAAGATTATAAAATAGGAGTTTTATGTAATCAAAATTTTCATTTTATTTAACTGATAGTTTTGTTTGGCAAAGTTGTATTCTAACAGTCTATTTATCATTACGTTCATCAATACCTACAACAATTGTTACAGCACTTACATCAACTATATTATTATCTATTTCATGAAATATAAGTGAGAATGATTCGAATAATAACAGATGACAATTAATTAATTCAATTAATAGAATGAATATAACACTAGCAGAAAAAAAAATGCAATATCAACAATCAATATATTATTGATTACTCAGTAGTGATAATGCTTTTCGTATCTTACTTACGTATAAATCGAAACATTGCTTTTTCTATAAAGTAAATTAAAAATTCGATTGCAATTTCATTTGTATATTAATCAGGGCACTCCTCTTGAATCTCTCTGACAAGTCAAAACTTTGATATTTTACTTTTCAATTTTTTGTACCTCTAAAGTGCAGCATTAAACAGGTTGAAAAAACTTTCAAAAAATGTCAAAAGATTAAAGTTAAATGTTCTCTTTCAGAAAAGTATCTCATTCGAAGTAATTTTTGAATAGAAAAATTTATCTAAAATGACCAGAACTAATTCTTTTTTTAATACCAGCATTTGAAGTGCTTTTTTTGAAGTCGAAACAGCTTATATAATAGAAAAAAATTTCTCAAAATGATTTCTAATCGAGAAAATTTTTTTTTTTATGACAAAGCTGTTTGCGCAGTCTCTATGGGGTTAAAATATGAAACATGATGTAGCTAATATTGCTAATCATTGCAGACTGCCTAATTTTATCTATTTTGGAATACACATCTCCACGATCTTTTAAACTGCTCTTTCAAAAATGCAATAAGGGTGTGGTTTAAATGTTAGAACAAGATGTTATTGATGTGCAGTGTGTGACAGTCTCTAGCTAGCATCCGTCACACAATAGTTAATGCCAGCCTGTCATGAGGACATGACTTTTTTTCGAATGCACAATGATTTTTTTTGAAAAATTTGGAAGAAAAATATTTCGACAAATACATTAATACGGTTGAATGGAAAATCACAGTAAAGAAAAAGAAGTCTTTATTATCGGTAGTGGACATTATACATATTTGTAGTGTATATTGTTTTCGAGTGTGTCTTGAATGGATTGTGTAAAAAACAGTATGCGTTGTGTAGGTGACGGTATTTTCAGGATAATTTTTAATTAAAAAGTAGGTTACAAATCCCTATCCTAAATACTTCAATAATCCTTTTGAATCGTATTTTACCAAAGACCCGTTACAGGTCATATATTTAAGACATTCTCAAATGAAATGATTCGGATATGGTAATGCGACTGTGTATAAAGAGAACATCTCTAAGCACACCCATACCCTCGATCGATTCATCTGATATCTACGGATACATCATTTTGTATGAGAAACGCAAGAATCGATGTGTTTTGAACCTAACCATATATAATATATGCAATTAGAAACAAGTAATCTGTTGACATATAATAACTATTGTGTGTATAATTAGTTATCTTTGACTTTCATCACGTCAAAATCAAGAGACATTTTACTTCAAAATAATGAATTCATTCTACAACTATGTTAAACTTTATTTACTACTCTATTATTAAGAATATCGCACATGAGTTTTTTGTAGTTCTGAAACATTTTTTTATGCTTTTGCCGCTGTTCGTATATCTTCGGGTGTTGTTAATAACTTGGATTGAACACCATCGTCCTTTGCATTTTGATTGACAAGCTCGACATCAGTTTTTTTAACTTTTTTAGTATTTCTTTTTTCAGGTCCGAGTAAAATAATGATGAGTAAATATACGTAAGTACAAGCTAAGAAAATAGCCATGACTTTACCATAATCAAATCGATGATCAGATGAAGTATCATGTGATGATTCCAAGGGAAAACGTTGTCCAAGTGTGGCTTCAATGGTCGACGAAGCTGAAGAGATGAGATTACCTAATTGATAGGCAGTACCGACAACGAATGAACGAAATTCTTCTGGTGACAGTTCCATGAGATGAATAGGTACAACACCCCAAGCACCTTGTACACACAACTGTTGAAAAAATGCACCGACCATAATGCTTTTATTTCGTGGAAGAAGATAGGCCGGAATAAGAGCAGCACCAGCAATTAGAACAACAATAATAGATAGTCGTCGACCGAAGAAACTTGAAAAGTAGCCAATCAACGAACCACCAACCAGAGCTCCACAACTTGCGACTATTGTCGTAAGAGTAACAAAACCTGGTGAAAATCTTAGTTGATTGCTAAGAAAAGTTGGATACAGATCTTGACTACCATGTGCTAAAAAGTTAAATCCACTCATCATGAGAATGAGATAGATGAGTGTTAGCCAATAGTGAGCAAGTGTAGGACGAATTGAATTGATGACTGCTTGCACTGCAGATACTTCATGGCCATCTCCGTCTAAAATTTGAACATTGTTCGGGTAATTTGATACAAAAAAAAAGAAGTACCTTTGGCTTTGTCGATTTTGCGTGCTTCCTTGACACGAAGAAATTCTTCCGTTTCAGGTAAGAAGACGCGCCATAGAGCAACAAGCAGTGGAAGAAAACCTGCTATCCAGAAAAGTGCTCGCCAACCGTAACATTGATTATTTGTAATTGCCAGATTGAAGACAGCGGCGAGTATGAAACCGAGTGCATAACCCTGTTGCAATATACCTGACAAGAGGCCCCTTGTCGTGGGTGGTGCATCTTCAAGAGCTGTAGTGGCACAATTACCATATATACCACCCATAGCAACACCGAAAGAAGCTCGACAAACAATAAACTGACCGTATGTTGTACAAAATCCTGTTAGGATTTCGAGTGTTGCATAGAACACAATATTAACAATAAATGGCCATTTACGACCGAATCGATCGCCTGCAATACCGAAGAGAATGGCACCCACTGAACGAAGCATTAGTGTTACAGTAATACCCCAAGTGATATCCGCTACAGTTTTGTTAAATGTTTTACCAATTTCGATGACATTGAGAGTAACAGAGAAGAAATCGAAAGCATCCAATGTCCACGCAAAAAAAGCGACAAGAAACAAGGCAGCTTGTCGACGATTTAACATACGAAGAAGAGTGATTGGATTTTCAGGTACAACCATAGGCGGTACCAAATTAGTAAAACTAGTAACAAGATACTTGCCGATCTTCATTATTTTGAATAAAAATAATACAACTGCAAATTTCTTTAGCAGATGTGATCTAACGTAATAAAGAACGTCGAATCTCTTTGTTTATTTTCGACCCTGTACAAGGACTGGTTGAAACGTGATTGTCGGTCTTGTTAAATGAATACATTATCAAGACGAAATCATTGCCATTTTATAGTATATTTTTCGTTTGTTATTTTTCTCTTTCTACAAATGCAAAAAAAAGAAGACGAAACATAGATTGAATAGATGCACGTATGAAGACAATCGAAACATACAGTGTCGAAACCAAGCATTAAAAAACGAGAAAAAAACACAAATGCCCATAGTCGACAACTCTTCCCTTTCTACGACAAAAAATAATAATGGAATGAGTAAAATGAAATGAAGAATGAATAGACTTTGCAAATATGATTAGTATTAACCAAACTATTGTATATATGTGCATTTGTCCAGAATTTTAATGTAAAGTTTTTTTAATGGGTCCACGAAAATCAATATTCATTCATATTCGTCTTTATTCTGCTTCAGAACATTCAGATGAATTGCTCAAATGAATGCAAATCAAAATATTTTATTCATTTATGATATCATAACTCAATGATCTAAATTTTGACAACGAAGAAATACAACAGTATTTTTAATCTTTTTCATTTTTTAAATGTTAATTTTGCTATGTGAATTATTGTCCAGTGGTACAGTGAACAGGATAAGATTTTTTATTTGCTATTAAATCTGTTAAAAATTACTTGATGATTCTCTGACAAGAATAATTGTTTATAATTTGTATTATTAGGTAATAAAGCTTTTATAGAATTTTTCTCAGTTATTTTTAAAATAAGAAAGATTTTAAATGTAAGCTGGAATAAAACAAAATCTATTTGATCTCTAAGTTTGAAAATGTAATTTGAAAAGCTTTTCTAGTTTTAGCGTTCTTTGCAGATGGCCGAGCCTTGAAAAATCGTACACGTACAAATGCAATAGTTCTACATAAACAAGAATATTTAATTTCACATATTACGCTGTCAAAAGACTGTTGAACACTACTAATCAGTAGAAACTTGCGAAACCAATAATTAACACCAGAAAAAAAATGTGTCTAATAAAATATTTACTTCTCGATATTTGTTGTACTTATTGAATCTCATATAAATATAATTCTTATCTTAAAACTTCTTGTACTTCCGATTCTACGAAAATTATATTGTTAAATTTACTTACAGAATTTGATGTTTATCATCCTTTTGAGTGTTTAATTGAAAATTATGCTCTCACTAATTATGATATTGAAATATCGACAAATATCCTTTCATTGTCAACAAATCTATCTTTAAAATAAATGCATATACTAAAGTGTTCTCTGAGACTGTTATTTTCTAAACTAATTTGAAGGCCATATACACAAGTGTGATTTTCAAACAGGGCGACAGATGTGAACTCATTGAATGTATGAAAGAAAATGCTAATAATTATTTTATTATCCGTTCGAATGTTGAGATTGTTTTAACATATAATAATAAATTCATCACATAGTATGATGCATTAGTGGTGCTAAATAATAAAAAAATTTATTCACATATTTCGTTCTCTAATAAAGTTTGATACATTTATATATGCAATGAGTAAACTATCGTAAAAGTACCAGATTATTATCTGTGTTTTATTTACACATTTATTCATATGATTTAATCTGTTCGATACTAATCTAGTGATCATATTTGAGAAGAACAAACTGAGATGTGTTATAGAAAATTATGTTTCTCTATAACCAAGTCCACGTAATAGTATGTTTTTTTTCTTTCTGTCACTGTTGAATTTTCGAGCAAATAAATATGTTTCAAGGTAGCAGTTAATTTTAGATCATACTTGGTCGAGGTTTATGGAAGTAAGACACTTGAGAAACCTTTATGGTCGATCATTTATGCAGAAAATTGTTCGTTTCTACAAGTATTTGTGAGCATGTTGGTGATGTATGTCTTTTTTTATATTTTATTACTTGTCATTGAGCGAAACAGCAGTAACAATACTGATTTAACTTGTACTTAACAAAAGGGTGCAGACAAACATTTGTGTTTTTTTCATTTATTTTTGACAGGGTGAGAAATAGAGGCAAATAAACAAATTTACATACTCGACAGTATTACATGCTCCTAAAGGAGTAGTCGTGAAGCAAATATACGAACTTAACTTAATGCATTAGCATAATATCAGTATTTATGGATATCTTGGCTGCAGTCTAGGTTCTTAGAAAGTAGAACACAATTTTTACAAAATGGCATTATAATTAAAAATCGATTGTGTAAGCAACTAGAAAATCGATTTTCTTGCGTGGGAATGGTCTTATTTTTCTCAGAGGTAATCGTGTGTCAGTCAGAAAATCATTTTTAAGAGGTAAAAATTTTTTTCTATCGAAAAGTCTTGGTTGTTCGTTCAAAAAATTGTCTTTTCCTTCTTATTATAAAGTCAAAAACTCTCAAAGTTGGACATCTAATCACTTGCACCCAAAGAAATACTACCCTAAATTTTCACATCTCTAACCGTTTTATTCTTAGATAACGTTTACACTAATTAATGTTCATTCCAAATCTGGTCACAAATAATACAGTATTTTATAGTATTCATGTCGTGACAGTCGTTTCTATTGATTAAATATTCTTGTTTATCAACTAGACATTCTACTCGTCATGGTATTCGATATATCAATTCTAAATACATTTACAAATTGTATACTATCAAAACTTATTCTTGAATTACTTTCTAGTTCGACGACAGACAATTACTAAATAAGATGAAATTTTAAAAAAATGTCGAAAAGTAAAAGTCCGATAAGAAAAATATTGAAAAGAACAGTGTCGAAAGAAAAATTGCGAAACAGAAAAATGTTGGTAAAAATCTATCAAAAATGAATTATGAAGTATTATCATAGGTTTATGTACATCGAATCAGAGTTGAAGATATTTAAATAAATAAATATACTATAAACATCTAATAATCTTGAGAGATAATTCGATTTAACATAACTCTCTCAATATCTCCTTATGTGTTGTCTTCCTTTTTACTTTTTCTGTCCAGGTTTTCATGTGAATTTTCACTATTTTAATATTAGGACATGGAGTTCGTTTGAATCCAAGAAATTAGATGTCCAACTTTAAGCATTTTTGGTTTTAAAGTAACGAAGAAAAAGTAATTTTTTAAAGAACTACCAAGATTTTGGATCATCCTTGAGTCATAGCTGTAAGAAAAATATAGCGAGCTATTGGATCTATTACTAAGCAGTATCCCATAACGCAAAGTAGCCGACAGGCATGGGTACTGCTCTTCTTGTTTCAAAAAGAAAAAAATCGATGAAACTTAAGAAGTTTGTATTCGGTATCAAAATATTGACTTCTCAATTTTTCAAAATTCAAAACTCAAAGACTACAAGAAATTTAAGAAATATGAGACGAATCTATTTTTGTCATTGATTGAAAAGTACTTACGGCATTTTCAGAATACTTGATATTATTTATATTGTCATTCCTTTACCTTGATCTATTTGAAATTGAATTGAGATGTTATTTATTTTAGAGCAAAATTATACGATCATCTGTGCTACTATCTGTAACGTCTTCTATCAAATCTTCGTTCGATTATCAAAAACTACCTTTCAAGTACCAATATCAATTAACTTATTTGATTTCATACAAGAGGAATTGAATCTCACTGCAGCGTTTGTAGAAAAAGGAAATGCAATCCCATAGATCACTTCACAGTTTCCTAGTATATATGTGTAGAAAGAAACCAGATATGTTACATATTTTACTCTTTAATAGTGATATCAAGTGGTGATATATTGCTTGCTCTCTAATTTTTCTGTGCTTCACTTAATTCATCATGTACGACAAAACAATACCAACAATCATTCTTCTTATCATTATGGCATGTATGTCATTGTCTAATGGATTGAATTGCAACTGCGAATGTTGTACCAAAAATAATTGTAGACCATTGATGAGACGTAACTTTTCTCTCTTGACCTGTGACTTATGTAAAATCATGTGTCAAACAAAATTTGATTCGGTCTGTACGAAACCAGGAATGCACATCTTGCATCGATGCTTCAATGATAATTTATCAACTACGTATTCAAGATCAATTTACTGGAATTTGTTCGATTGAATCACCCACTGTCGATGACACAACAGTAATGGCAAATGGTTCCTCTGCTACAATGTCTTTATTGAATAAAATGCACTTGATGAGACTCAATGCAGAGTGTCTTCAACTCGAATTTATTCTTCAAGACGATCTTAGATGTCGTGGGAAGGCAGAAAGACTATCTAATGTGTCTGCCTTTCAATCATCACCATTGGCTGGACACTTGTCTTTCTATTCAGCGCTTTCCTTTTCATCCATTAGTTGGTAATATACCAACGTTTGAATTCATTTTTTTCCGACTCGGTGCACCAACTCTTTTTGACTTCTGGATGAATCATTAAATATGTTTAAGTGAAGAACCCATGGTATGAATGTTGACCTTCTATTCACGCACATCCAGACATTCAAGATTTATGAAAAATTGACCGAAATTTTTTCTTAAATCAATGTATACAGGAAAAAGTCTTGAAATATGGTATCGAAGTTTATATTGCGCTTGTTTATACTGGGTTTTGGATTTTAGTTTTTCTAAACGTCATGGGTTTCTCCGCCATTTTCAATGGTAGAAAGCTGATTTTAGTCTTAAAATGAAGGAAAAAGTTAGTCTTACAACCTGGCAGAACCGGATATTTTTGATTTTCTCTTGAATGTCTGACAATGATGCATTGTCTTGGAAGTATAATCGGCATTTTTGTCCCATGTTTTTCAGATAGGTTGCTTTGGTAAAAAAAATATCAAAAATCAGAACTGATTTTCTTATATTTAACATATAAGTTGATTCATATAATACCCATTCCTGTGAAATAAATCTTGAACAGTGACAATCCGTGAATAATCAATATCTTGTTCTGTTTATGATAAGATAAACGACTAATAGTTCGTTTTAATGCAATGCAAACGGTAAGTACCTCACATGATCTCGAGACATGGAAGAAAGACGGAACAGATGACTTCAAATCCATCTGTGATGATTTTTACACTGATGAATATAATAACAAAAGTTATTGTAAGTTTTATAATCAGTAGATTTTTTCCACGCTTATGCTGTGCGTCTAGGTATTGAAAAATCGATTGGATTGTTTTTTGTTTGTTAAATCAGTTTTGACGACGTTAGTACCTGATTGTATTGCTTCATGAAACTTTGATTGTTGATATTGACAATTGAAGAACTCTTATGCTTCTCTTTCACATTTCAACACTCATAATGGAAAGTATTCGACCACAAATCTGTATTAGTTTTTTAAGTAGAAAAACCTGTACACGTAGTTTGTTTCGGGGCAAAACTTGTTTGGGTGTAGATTTAGACAAAGTGAATACAATCATCTATCCTCATTTATAGCTTTCTAGATTTTTCATCTTCAAGAATCTTTTGTGTTTGGCATGTTGCAGTATACACAAAAAAAGGAGACAATATTTCAATGGATTTATTAAGATTATTTTATTGAGTTATACGCATGATTGAGACAAGTGACATAATATATTTAGATTGAATATTCAAGTTTCTTCGCACTTAATGTCACTGTGTTTTTTTGTACAACTATAAGAATACATTGATTAACTCAGTTAGAGATTCCGAATAGAACATGTGCATTTTTCAAATTACGAATGTAATAAATACACATATCAGAGGGTGTAATGTTACGCCAACTGACTAGGAAACTATCTTGCTCATTAGTTTTTTGTTCTATGAAATCAAATTAACACACTCTTTCTTTTTTCCTATACTACTTATGAAAGAACGACAACAACAATAAATTTGAATTCTCTGCATTGCATTACTAAATAATAATACGGATACACGTCATTGATATGCAATGAATCATTCTTTTTTTTGTGTCATTTACTGCGACTATGACTTCCCTCGAGTAGATCATTCAGATTATCTAAAAATACTTTTATTAATTGGAGCAAAAAAACCTCATATCATAAATATATTACTAGTATATAGTTAATGAATATTGAGGAGAGATTTATTAAACTATTATCGATCGATCCAAAGTCGAATGAGATATGGTCGTTTCTCATCTCGACTAATCATATATGTTGATGGTAAACGATTTTTTAACCATTCAATAAGTTCATCATTTGTTGATGATGAACTCCAAACATTATATTCATCATCTTTACAATTACATATTAAAGATCGAAGGTTAGGTAGTGCATTAATAAACTCAACAATATTCGATCGATATTTGATACCAATTAAAAGAACTTCACATTGTTGTATGAATGGTGAATTATTAACTAAGGAAGAACATTCATCTGCATTAAAATATCGAATAGATGACTTAAATTTCGTTATCAAATCAAGTCGACGAACTGATGGACTTGTTATTGTAAAAAATTTCATTGATACATTTTTTGTATTAGACAATTTTAAAGAATATAAATGTACTGTTCGATTGAGTAAATCTTGTAATTGTGAATATGCATGATCTGTCGATAGAAATATTATATTAATAGATATTAAACGATTTAATAATGGTATACATGACCAAAATTTTTCATCAAATGGAAAACTTATTTTTAAATAACGTATTTGTGAAAATCGTGCAGAAAAAAGAATTAAATCTTTTGATAAATCATTTTCGGGATTTTTATGTGAAAGTATTAATACACGATCATATGACCAATAATCTGTATTAAAAGGACATGTTGATTTAGAAGAAATTGTATCAAAATAAAAACAATCGTTAAAATTATATGGTAATGTATAGAGAATACCATAACTAAATATATTCAATGGATCCCAATCACATCGAACATACCATTGATGTTCTACAAGCCAAAAATATGTACGAAATGTATCAAGTAATTCATTAGCTTGTTGATTTATATGATTATGATTAGGAAAATTTAAATTCATTTTTAAATTGAAAAATTTTATTTTAGATAAATCACTAACAAGAATATTTTCCCATTCATATCCATTACAATAAATATCAAATGTTTCTAATTTTAAATAAATTAAATTAGGTAGATTTTGAAAAAGATTTCTTAACATATCAATATAACCATGATATAAAATTTTTAAAGAAATTATTGATTCTATAGGATATTGTAATTGTTGATTAGGAAAACCATACAATAGATTAATAGAAATTCGTTGAAGATATGTTGTATATTTAAATAGATGTGATAAATCTTTAAAATCACAAGTAATTTTTTCTAAAGTTAAATATTTTATTGATGATGAAATTATATGAATATCTGTTAATCGTATTTTTCTCGATATAATCTGATCAACGATACAATGAGTCAATGTTGATAGATTCCAAATATTATTCATCAAAGATTCGATTTCATTTTCATGATAATTAAAAAAACATTTAATCATATTTAAATGTGTTAAATACGGTAAATGATGACATTGAATTATTAATTGATTAAATATATCATAGGATTGAATATTATATAATGATAATGATTTTAAATTAATGAATTTATTTATTGTAAAACCATATGAAAGCAATATTTTTGATAGATTTGGTGTTTCTTCATTATCAGATAAATGAAGTGAAATGATTTGATTAATAATCAATGGTAAATATTGTTGACAAACATGATCAAAATCATATTTAGATACTGATCGAAAATCAAGATTGTATAATGTAAGTTTAGTAAAAAGAAGTTCATTTAAACGAGTATTAAGATCATAAAAAGCACGAAAAAGATCAATAACATCAATATATTGAAATAAATCAAGTAATAATTCGTTGGCCAAACATTCAAAATACATTTTATTGGTTTAGTTCACAACCGAAGTTTCATGCATCATGAATATGATTAATAGAACATGTGTTTCTTGTTTTTTTCTTGTTTTCGTTCTGTTACTTGCTTCGGTATATTTTTATGTTTTGCTGTGTAGATGCAATGACTAATAGCAAATAGAAAAGACACATTAGTGTCGCTAATATAAAGATGTAGTGTTATCGATAAAGATTATTCAATTCTGATATTTTTTTTGTAACATATTTTTTTCCTTCACATGAAATCATTCTTATTTTGTCAAAAAAAAACCAATAACACGAGCAAAAGTATCTTTCACTATATATAAAACTATTTTCATAGTATTCATGCAAATATTTACAATACTTGAGTTCTCACTGAGATAAAATTTTTCTTGATGTATTGATTTCTATAGAAGTCATTGGAATATATTTTCTCAACGTCTGTATTGATAAGCGTAGTTGATTATCATGTTTTTCTCATTCTATTAATGCAAAGCACGATGAATGCTTTTTATTTTTTGCACGAGCTTATGTTCTATATATAATAAAAACTTGATTAATCTTATTGCCAATAGGAAATATACGAAAAATATTCTATTTATCTTTAATATTATCTCCAACAAAGAATTTCATCTTTATCGATTTTTTGCCTAGACTAAAGCGCATTATATTCATTCTTCTATATTAATATACATTAAAAAAAATAAAATGTTTCGTAAGGGAGAATCCATGCGAGACATTTCCAATTAATATGCTCAAGCGAAGTTTGCATTTGAAAACTTATGAGTATTAAAGCAGAGTTTTTATAACTCATTGATTGATGAGCTTCAGTATGTTGAATAAAATATTTTTTTCGAATGCATAGTCAAAAATTTACTTCTAATAGGATATAAATGAATGATTTTAAAAATTTTTTGACATAGCAAGACACACAAAGTAGATATTGTAGATGACTTTTTGTTAAAATAAATATCGAATAACGAAAAATCTTGATTAAGAATTAAAAAACAAAGGACGTCGAAATTATTTGTAACTAAACTTTATTTTCGTATTTCTCCACACTAATTGAAAATGTTAAGACATTTCACCAAACAGAGTATATAATATCATGAAAGGCCATCTTACTATTCGTACTACGTCTCTTTTAGGTGTTGGTTGCGTGTGAATAACTGGGTAAACAGGTAACCGCGACATCTACACCACAAAGGAAGATATGATGGGAACTTTAGAAGGCACTACATCATTTGAATAAAAAAAATATGATGAAAATTCAACTACTTTCGAAAGTTACTCGTTATTTATTTTTCTTTCCAGAGAATTCAAATAAAAATATTCATCATAGTATGCGACTGCTATTTTTTTCCATCACTATAATATTTTCATCTTGGAAAATAAAAAAAAGAATTTCAATAAACAAAAAAAAACAATAATTCTTTTAAGTTATTTGCTTTTCTTAATTCTACAAAGTTGAATGTAAGCCAATAGAAGAAAAGTAATTGCCATCATTGTCAATGCAAAAAAATATTTCCACATATCCCAATCACTAGCATAATCTACTGCTTGTTTTATTAATATTTCTGAACCATTCATAGGACAAACATCAGTTTGATTCACTAGACAAAAATTAATATCTCGAAATTCATTTACACTTAACATATTTGATGCATATCGAAAAGCACTAATCCATTGAATCCAAGAAAGCCAATTGAATACACTATCCAAAGAAATTAGAAAACCACTAAATAAGAACATAATAACAAAGATAAGTACAACAATAATGAGAGCCACAGCTAAAAACAAAGTAAAACTTATTCACATTAGATTCAGATTCAATAGTTTGAAAATTGAAAAATAAACTTACCGAATGTATGAATGGTAGCCGAGATAAAAAAACATATTGCTGATCCAAATATTGAAGCCATAAAAATAGTAAGAAGAAAAACAAAAAAATGACCAGCACTTCTTTGTAAACCTGTCATAAAATATGCAAGCAAAGAAAATATAATTGATGGAATAGCTCTCATGGGTAATAAATCACAAAGAAGTTTAGCAATGAAAAATGTTGTAGTTCGATAATAACCACTAATATTTTCCTACAAAATAACAACTCATCATTCAATGATATCCATCGAGAAAAAGGAAAAAAACTTACATGTATAAATAACGTGCGTTCTTTAACCAATGGTTCAAGTGCTGTTATAGTACTAAATACTTGACTGACAACAATAAAAAAGATAGCTCCTAAACGATTTTGTACACCAGGATCAATCGTTTTTTCCATATTATTAAAGACTAATCCTACTAGAAGACCCATAATAATAGCGACTATTACTTGAGATAGAAATAATTCAGGATTTCTTATAGCATTTCTTAATGTTCGTTGTGATACATAATAGATTTCTGTAATCAATGAACGTGCTGCTACTCCTTGTTCGTTTCGATGAATTTTTTCTAAACTATTACCATTCACTTGCTTTTTCAATAAAGAACTAATAGTTGCATATATTTGAGATGTCATATATGCTTTGTTTAATTTTTCTATATTTTCAGGTTTTCGACTTGCATCAATAAGAACATCCAATGCAAAATCAGCAGGATTATCATGTAATTCGCATGAATAACCTTGCATGTTAAAAAAAGAAAGTACAGCTAAAGCTGGACCATGATAAATACTTTTGCCTTTGCACATAAGAAGAACAGTATCAAAAAGTTTGAATATTGAATAACGAGGTTGATGAATAGAGAAAATAATTGTACCTTATATTGAAATTTATTAGTTTTTTTTTTACTGTAAGAATATAGTTACTCGATAAGAAAAAGTAAAACTTACGTCCACTTTTTGATAGTTCTTTTAAACATTCCATGACATTTCGAGCTGTAGATGCATCGAGTCCTATATGAAAATGATATAAATCATGACATTTTAACTTATAAAATAAACTTTAATCTATTCAATACTTCGTTTTCAGGTGTCTTTTCAAAAATGAACCTCAATTTTACAAACCTGTAGTTGGTTCATCAAGAAAAAGTATTTTGGGCGAAAGTACAAGTTCCATACCAATACATGTTCGTTTTCGTTCTCCACCTGATACACCTCTTAAAAACTCGGTACCTATTTTTGTATCAGCACATGTTTCAAGTCCAAGATCATGAATAATTTTTGTTACACGTTCTTTACGTTCATTGTTAGAAACATCATCAGATAAACGAACATTTGCTGAAAACATGAGATTTTCTCGTACAGTAAGTGTTCCACTAATAATATCATCTTGAACAACATAACCAACAATATACTTGTATGACGGAGGTGGTGGATATCCATCGATGAATACTTTTCCAGAAACACCATGATGATCTTTGCGATAAGCCAATATATCAAGAAGAGATGATTTACCACAACCAGTTGGTCCTACATATTGTTGACTTAAGAATAGCTTTGAGAAAATTATATACATAATGAAATTTTCAATATTTAAGGTCTTTTACAATTTAGCTCAAATAGTGAGTTCTTACCCATGATAGCATTCATTCCTGATGCAAAAATACCAGAAACATCATCAATGATTTGTTTTGTCGATTTTGGTTTCATAAAAGGTGGATACCAATTTTTATATCGACAAATCATTTGTTGTCGACCAATAACGTAACTAATATTTTGAAATGCAAGTATTCCTTTCGATGAAAGATCCATAGAAATACGTGTATTTCTTCGACTATGGCGTTGAGAAGAATGATGACGCTGAAAAGCTTCATCAGTTTGATGAATAATGGTGCTTGGAACAGAAGTATCATTGACTGGTATTGATATATGAATCTGCGAATGATCAGAAATCGATGTTGTTTCTCTAAGGAAAAAAAGTAAAATGTAATGAATTACATTTATTTTCAAATAGAAGACCTTCGCAAATTTTAACGTCGTCTATTTTAGTCAAATCAATGTTTACGGTTCATTTTCAGATATGTGTTATTGTAATTAAATTAAGGAAGATTACTATTTTTCATACGAAAAAAACATGTATTAGATATGAAGGCACGTTTCAAAAATATCAGTTGTCGAAATAAATCCACCTATGAAAATTGTCTAATTTAATCATAGTTTTTTGTATTATTGAGCGTTTATTTACGGTAAATTTTGACATAAATCTGTATCATTAATTTTTTTTCTTCTATTCTGTTGAAAAGCAAAGTATTAAGTTGTGCAACTAAGAACTTTACGTTACCGATCATTCATCAACACTGAAATTGATTGATTCGAGTGTTTACGTAATTGTTATGAGACTATGATGGTCACTACGGTTGATCTATATTAATGAATATATTATTTGTACTTCAGTTCTTTCTGTTGGATTGTTGACTGGAAGATGCAGTTTGTTTTAGTGTTGCCATAATGCGTAGGCAAAAAAAATGCAGCTGATCAAACTATTGCTACGGTTTGCTATTGGTTCGAGTGCAATTGAAAACAAACACTGCGCTCGCAAGCTGTATTTTTCTCTCGTAAAAGGTGTAGGATTCAACGAATAGCTATTTCACCAAATGAAAGCCACAAAAAGTTCTCATATTTATTCTTTTTTTTTCTGCTTGTGAATAATTTTTATTTTATTAGTTAAGCTTCGATGGGCCATTTCATTTGGCGAAATGCACATGCATAATAAAAATCAAATGAAATCCATGCGCATTTCGAAAGTGCTTGAGAACTGAAACCCTAGATAGACATACATGATTTATTCTCTAATGAATTGCACAATCAGTAATATTATAAAAAACTTCATACACCACTACATACGATTGAAATATAGACTTTGAATGAAGATATATTCTGTTGTGTTCATATTTTCATCTTAAACCTATCTATACGATACTTGGTTATGCATGTTAATATTCAAAGAAAACTCGATACATCGTTTGAGAGTGGATAGGCAGTTCAGGACAGTTAGAACAGTCAACAATATATGAAAAGCATAGGTCTTCATTGGACTTGAAGCCTTTTGCTAGGTCTGCTGCTTCATAAAATTTCAGTCCTTGGTTGCTGATAATTTACTACACGTAGAAGTCTTCCTTTTATCAGAAACTTCGCCCACATTTTAGTTGTCCTCTAGATCCGTTGACAAAATGCAACTATTCTCTGATATTGGACTAATGTCTTCAAGTGAAAGTCTTCAAAGGTTGAAAAATACACTTCAAGGAAGTTCACTCATTACATAACCATTTGTCTTCTGTATTCTCATGTGTGTGATGTTAATATGTGCGACATAGACAGAATAATGACACATTCGAATGTAATACAAAAACAACAAAAATAAAATATTGCCGATTATTTATTAGCACATCAGGTTTGTAGAAATTTTAAAAGAATTGCTTTGAATGATCATTTAGAAAACATTGTTGAGAATTTTTATTTATTTTCTAATGATGGATTCAAAATCCATAAATTAATACGAGCCATGTTATATAAATTTCGATTGATTGTATATGCATATTTAGATGATAAATTTTGATGTAACCATTCGATTAAATTATCATTTGTTTCAAATGATTCGTATTGATTATTTTCATTATCTTTACAACGAATACTTAACGCTCGAAGATTAGGCATTGTATTGATGAGTTCAAGAATATTTGATCGACTTTCAACATCAATCATAAGAACTTCACATTGAAAAGCAAGTGATGAATTACCCAAAATAGTACATTCTTCACTATTAAAATATCGCAAACGAACTTCGAGATGTTGAAAAAATTCCAATCGACGAATTGATGTACTTTTAATATTAAATGATGTCATTGAGAAATCATTAAAGTGACAAAAACGCAATGAATAGAGATGCGGTGCTCGATCAAGTAATGTTTGTAATTGAGAATAACCTAAATCTCGATTTAATTTTACATCAAGTGAAATCAATTGATCTAATGTTGGAATAAGTGACCAAAATGTGTCATCGAATGGAAGTTTGATTTGAAGATGACGAATATTAAAAAATTGAACAGGATAAAGAATCCAATTTTGAGAAAGATCTCTCTTATGATTAGTATGATGAAGTATTTTCGATGAATTACGACAAAAATTATCTAAACTATTCGGACTAGTTGATTTTGATTGACTACCATCTGTATAATAGAATGTATCAAAAGCATAAGGTAATGTATAAAGAAGACCAGTCTTGTTTATATCCATGGGACACCAATCACATCGAACAAACCATTGATGTTTTTCAATCCAATAATGACTTCGAAATGAATCAATTAGTTGATTTACTTGTTCTTCTATATCTTCCAAAGGAGAAAATTCAATTGTCATTTTAAGACGAAAATTTTTAATCTTATGAAAATAATTGCTAAGAATCTTTTCCCATCCATGTCCATCTAAATAAATATTATTTATTTCGAGTGTTAAATAACATAAATTTGGTATTTGTTGAAAAAGATTTTTCATCCATTGTAATGTAAATTGAGCAGACATACTCAATGAAATTAATGATGGGATAATAGTTTGTATATGTTGATCATAGAATTGACCAATGCTACCTATATGAAGTCGTTCAAGACGTGGTGTATGTTTAAATAAATGTAATAAACTATATGAACTATAGCAAATACTTTTAGTAGACAAATACGTAATAGATTGAGAAATCATTGTCATTTCAAGAAGCCATGTTGCATATGGATATTGAATATCTAAATAACAATGCGTAAGTTTTGGTAGACTCCAAATATTGTTTATTGCATCACGAAAGTTTTCCTCAGGATCTTGATTATTATGTATCATTATATTTAGATGTGTTAGATGTAAAAGTTCATGACATTGAACTATTATTTGATTTAATATGTCAAAGGAAGAGATACAGTCTATTGAAAGTGATTTTAAATGAATGAATTGATTCATATGATAGCCATGCGAAAGAAAAAGTTGAGGTAAATTTGGTGTTTCGACATCATCCGAAAGATGGAGTGATATGATTCGATTATTAATAGATGCAAGATATTGTTGACAAAAATACTCGAAATCATTTTTTGATATGAAACGAAAATCGAGGTAATATTTTTGAAGTTGAATGAAGAGAAGTTGATCAAAACGAGTATTAAGCCCGTAAAAAGCAAGAAGAAGATGATGAGCATTGAAATATTCAAATAAATCAAGTAAAAGTTCGTTTGCCAATAATTCTAAACTCATGTTTTTATCTCTATGTGAAGAAGAAAAAAAAACTTAGGTTAGTTTTTTACCCGTCAGAAAGAATAAGAAAAAGCAGTATTTTCTTTCGTTCTCTCGACTACATCGTTAACCTTGTTGTTGCACAGGGTATTGTGTTTTTTTTTTCTTTCTTCAAAATGTTATGACTCATATGAAATAGAGAAAAAAACTTTTTTTTTGTCGTTCATATCGCAACTTTCAAATCATAAAGTTCTGCTTAAGTATGAAGTATTTCATTACTAATTGATACTAAGTTCTAGTTATTCAATTTGATTTGTTGTTAATAAATTTTTGAAAATACATTTTTTGGAACTGACTAGAAATAAAAACCACAGTGTGCTATAAACTACAAATAGCCTCTGATGTGGTATGATATTGTTATATAATTTAGCGTGTTACTCATTTGTTGTAATTCGAATAAAAGGTAAATCTCGAAACACTTCAGCAATCTATTCAGACATGGCTTTTGCAATGACTGGAATTAATATTAAGGAATAAGATACTCGTATCATTCTCAGTGAGTAAACTAGTTTGACATATTTCGATGAATGAATTGAAAAAAGAGCAGTAATTTAATGATTTAAAGTAAGATTTCATACGGGTAATAGAATTTGAATAATTTTTTTATTGGGTAGGAACAATAAGTGTTTGAACGCAAGAATCAATCGGTGTTATAAGAAAATCGAATAGTAGTACTTAATGCATATAATATTATATGTACTTGATAACACTGACAACTTGTATGTCTATACTAAAAATTATTCGAAATATTTTCACCAACATTGAAATGGTTGTTAAGTGTATGGTACATCTGTGTAACGTTAGCCATTATTATTTACTAGAGAATCATGAGCATACTTTCTTTGAAAAGACTTTATCTCACTCTTTAAAAATTTATTATGTTTGTGATTATGTGACAGAAAAATGTGTTAATGTAATAATAAATAATAAACAGAAATCATTCGCATATTTTCTAAAACTTACAACTTTGACATTTCAAATTCATTAATGAATAATCTTTAAATTTCAAGTGTATTACATTTTGTTAACTATAATGAGATCATATTACGTCTACTGATATCTCAACTTGAGCAATTTAATTATCAAACAACAAATATTGGCGACAACTAACAATGTTTGATCTGAGCTATATTCATGCTATGGAACATTCTTCTTGGTCGTATATTGAAACTATATAGATGATTAATACGAACATATATCGCAGCTATGGAACAATAGAAACTTCACGATTATTCAGTTTCTATATATTAAGCTAATATTAATATGAAAAGCAGTTTTACAACAGCAAACTTTCTCTAACATGTCGTGATGATGTTATGTACTACATAGTTCTTTTAATAGCAATGAGTTTTCGTCAATGTTTTTATTTTAAACAGATCTTTGAACATGCAATTGCATGTAAAGTTGCCTTTTTTTTTATATAACGAACGTCTTTTTTAATGGTTTAAAATAAAATAATTGCAGGAGAATCCTTTTATTAATAA